ACTTATGGCATTTTGCATCAAACTAGCTGTGTTGGTACTCCACAACAAAATGGTGTGGCAGAGAGAAAGAATCGAGACTTATTGGAAAAGACTCGATCACTTATGATCCAAATGAATGTTCCCAAGAAATTTTGGTCTTAAGCCCTACTCATTGCCACTTACATCATTAACAAACTGCCAACTCGTGTTTTGAATACTAAATCTCCATTCGAAGTCATGAAGGGCAGGTCTATAGACTTGTCTCACCTTAGGACCTTTGGTTGCACCTGTTATGTGCATGTTTAAACTTCCCATAGCGACAAACTCGACCTTCGGGCTGTCAAATGTGTGTTTATGGGATACTCCAATTCTCAAAAGGGTTACAAAGTGTACAATCCTAATACTAGGAAGCTGGCAGTCTCTAGAGATGTTCGATTTGATGAATATTCACCTTATTTTCACAAAGGTTTGAAGACTAATCACGATAGGGAAGATCTTATAGACCTATTTCCACTGCCTACTCCAACAGAAGTTAATGAAGTCACTCCTACTTCTACCAACATTGAGAATTCTCATCCCACTGAGAGTGTAAGTGTGGGCATACCAAGCTCCTCAGAACCATCAAAACCTGAACCAACTCAGCAAGCTATAAGTGCACCAAGGAGAAATCATGCACGAGATAGACATCCACCAGTAAGGTTGCAAGAGTACATTACTTACACTACAAGGCATCCTATCTTTGTAGCCATTTCTTATCATAGATTCTCACCATCTCATGCTTCTTTTCTTAACAAATTATCCAACACTTTTGAACCAAGGAATTTTCATGAAGCCTCATGCATGCTTGAGTGGCAAGATGATATGACTCAAGAGCTCCAAGCTCGAAATGATAACTAGACATTAAGTGTGGTGGATCTTCCAAAGGGCAAGAAGGCAGTGGGAAGTAGGTGGATATATAAGGCCAAGTTCAACTCAAATGGGAGCATTGAAAGACACAAGGCACGGTTAGTAGCTCAAGGTTTTACACAAACCTATGACATTGACTACAATGAGACCTTTGCTCCAGTTGCCAAAATGAACACTGTGAGGGTATTGTTATCTATGGCAGTCAATAATGCATGGCCCTTATTCCAAATGGATGTGAAGAATGCATTTCTTCATGGGGAGCTTGAAGAAGAAGTATACATGAAGTTGCCTCCAGGTCATCCAAGAGAAAAGGAATCCAACAAGGTCTGTAGACTTCACAAAGCCATATATGGTCTCAAACAGTCCCCTAGAGCTTGGTATTCGAAGCTCAGTTCAGTTTTTGATGCTGCAAGGTTCCAAAGGAGTCATGCTGACTCTTCCTTGTTTGTTCGAAGTGTTAATACTGGGAAATTAGTGGTACTTATATATGTTGATGATCTTATTATTACAGGTGATAAAGTGAGTGAAATCACAAGCTCCTAAGCAATCACTTCATCAAAAAATTTCCATTAAAGACTTGGGGAACTTGAAATACTTTCTTGGCATTGAGGTGGTCACCTTTTCAAAGGGGTTATTCTTGAATAAAAAAAAATATGTTCTAGATCTTTTGGATGAAGCTAACATGATGGATTGCAAGCCAGCTTGGACACCCCTAGTTAGCAAACTTCAGTTGCATAAAAAAGGTGAACCTCTCTTAGATCCTAGTGTTTATCAGCGAGTGGTTGGGAAACTCATTTATCTCACCATTACTAGGCTTGATATTTCTTATTCAATAAGCCTAGCCAATTAGTTTATGCACTCAGTGAGTGGTTGGGAAACTCATTTATCTCACCATTACTAGGCCTGATATTTCTTATTCAGTAAGCCTAGCCAGTTAGTTTTTGAACTCTCCTACACTAGTTCACTGGGAAATTGTCAAAAGAATACTTCGTTATCTTAAGAGCTCAGTAGGTAGGGGAATACTTATGAAGAACAATGGTTCAAATCACATCATGGCTTACACCGATGCTGATTGGTTTGGAAATGCCATTGATCGAAAGTCTACCACAGGTTTTTGCACATTTGTTAGAGGTAATCTTGTCACTTGGAAGAGCAAGAAGCGAACTGTAATTGCTCGATCCAATGCAGGAGCTGAGTATAGGGCCATGGCAATGACAACATGTGAACTTATATGGCTAAAAGGTTTTCTTTCTGATCTCGGTTTCACAAGCAACACTCCAATATCTTTGTTTTGTGACAACCAAGCTGCCATGCACATTGCCTCTAATCCAGTATTTCATGAAAGGACTAACATAAGGGAACGAAAATTCTACAATGCATCAATGTATGCAATGCATTCCATTGTGGGATCCTTTAGACCATCAGATATGATGGTTTCATCAAAAGCATTCAATTTGCCAATTGGAGGACGACATTTGTAAGGTATTATTTCAAAAAATAATTTTTATGAAGTGGGAATGACGTTATTTCAAGTAAGCACTTTTTTTCTTGTGTGAACAAGTCAAGCACTTGTTGTCATATTGAAAAATTAGAATTTACTTTCTTTTCTTACTTATCACGTGACTTGTTTAGATAAAATCACAAGGTTCAAGAGTAAATTCTCGTGTTTTTTTACGAAAACTTACTTATTCAAGAATATATCTCTCGTGTTCCTCTACCACTCCTCAAGTGAGAAGTCACTTTAGGAACACTAACATTTTGCAAATTGAATATAGTCAACTTTGTTAAGACCACATAATTTCTCTTATGCATCGAAGTTTGAATCTCTTCTCCCCCACTGATAAACAAGTTTTATTATGTGATTTGTCCTTGCATATTACGTATATACCCTTAAGCACTAGGAAAAAAACTGACTGGATATCAGATGGACAGAATCCTGCAACCTTATCCTCATAAGTTCTAACATGTCAATTCAATACCTATGAATTTTCCGACCAAAAAAATCATCAGAAAAAAAAAGGTAAAAAAACAATCAAAGAAAATGGCCACAGCCATTCTCTCCACTGCAAAATCCTTCCTCCCTTCAACCCTTTCCTCCTCAGCATCTTCTGTTACTTCTTCTTCTTCACTGACAACACCACCAACATTAATTCATGTCCAAAAAACAAGTACAAGGAGAGGATTGACTTTTTGTAAGGCCCTGAGTGAAGAGCCACACTCACCTGCTCCAATCCTCACCAAAAGAAGCCTGTCCATCTGCTTTCTCACCAGCTTTGCCTTCTCATTGGTTGGCAAAGATTTCAACAGTTCTAATGCAGCAATTCTGGAAGCTGATGATGATGAAGAACTGTTGGAGAAGGTTAAGAAGGACAGGAAGAAGAGGCTTGAAAGGCAAGGAGTTCTCAGCTCATCAAAGAAAGAAACAGGTTTTTGTTTTGTCCATTTGACTTTGCTTTAATTCACGTCAAAATCCCAAATTAAATGCTTTATTTTTTTCCTTGTTGTTTAATTTGAATTTCAATATAAATGATCAATTCCCCTGATAGAACATGTTGAATTATCTTTTTGATGAATAATATTTACGTGTTTAGTCCAAAATAATGTTCTCAAACTATTCTTGGTAGAGAATGTAAAAGTTCGACTACTAATTGTATCGAGGCCTTCTATCTTAAAATTTTATACCTGTTGTATGTGAATATGGTTAAGTTGGAGACATTATCAGTGTTGATTAGTATCGGGCCGCCATGCCAGTCAATCTCTATGAAATCTTAACATTCAAATTGAACCAGTGCAATCTTGAGACTGCTTTTGTTTCAGTTTTCAATAACTGGAAACTATGCAGCTTCTAGACCTAAATATTTGCATTCTAGTTATGTTTCTATTATTTCTTGACAAAAAACAAATAGTGTGTAATCCACTGGTCTATGAGAAATCTGTTTATTTGGTTGTGTTCACATGACCTTCTCAAATTCATCCACAATGAAGCTTCGCTTCTGTGACATGCGTGAACCTTACCAGAATAGTATTGATCTGTTGCAGGATATCTGCAGGAACTTGTGTACCGGCTAAGCAAAGCAGGCCAGGCCATCGAAAGTAACGATTTGCCTGCAGCCAGTTCGGTTCTTGGAGCCAGCACTGACACAGATTGGGTTCAGAAGGCGAACCTCGCTTTGAATAAGGTCACCCCTCATCCTGGTTTATAACATTAGCACACACTACACACAATGTGAGCCTTCTCACGAAAAAAACTTAAATATTGAAAACTTATAGCATCATGTACCATCATGTTTGGGGTTTTCAAATGGCCATTCGTTGTGTATTGTTTCCGAAAATTACATTCCGCAGTTAGAGTCTCAGTTTCATGAAGAGTCACAGCATCTTCTATTTGTTATGTTGGCATACATTGCCTAGCTTTCCGACCTTTTTTCGTGTACTTTCTCAACAGCTAAGCTCTAGCCCTGAAGAGAAGACTGAAGTGGATACGTTCAACTCCTCACTAGCTTCATTGATATCATCAGGTGAGTTACTCCATCACATTGATCTTCAATGCCTCACTTACATTACAGAAAATCGTCTGTTATTTGACTGGAAAATCATCGGTTGAACAAACCTTTTCGTGGATCCATTTTGTTTTGCAGTTACGCGGAATGATGTAGAGTCCTCCAAGCTTGCATTTGTGTCTTCTGCCAGTGCAATTGAGAAATGGACAACATTAACCGGGCTCATTGACCAGCTTAAGGGACTTTAAAACACAGAAGATTACTCATTTGATCACTACGTTTATTTATTTATTTTTTTTTTCTGAGAGGAAGACTCTTAATTCCAATATTCTCTGAATCAGTATTACAAATATGAGTTCCAGAGTATCCATTGATTTCCGGCTACCGCAGTTTTTGCTAGAAACTACAGATTTCGTTTCATTGTTCAACCTTACATTGAATTGAATGAATGAAACTTTTCGTTTTCATGTATTTGACATCCTGTGCACAACACGACCAGCTATGTATGTTTCAGGCTTTCAGCATTTTACGATCTCAAATCTTTGTTCATCCGATAAAACACAGATTAAACCAGACCAGTAGCAACCAACAGCTAGATCGAGCGAAAAGACAAGGTTATCACTACAATAGTACAGAGCTGCATAATATTAATAATACATCACCAGTATCTTACAACATAATGTTACGGGGGTCACTGCCGCTACATTCTCTCTAGTACACAACAAAAGGAAGGTACATTTTATAGGCCTAATCTACCGATTCTATAGACGGATACTTCAATGGACAATCAGAGAGCTAAAACTAACAACACAGAAACTGAGTTTTCTCAGAAATGTGCAAGGTCAGAATGACGGAAGAGAAACGGGTTTTAAACGAATCGTCAAGGATCGACCTTAGCAGCCTAGTTGCCGGGGCTGCCATTCTCTTCGACCTTCTTGCCTGCTTTATGAACACCTGAACTATTATGTTCCTCATCGTTCCCTTTTTCCTCTACTTCTCCTTCATGTTTGTCCCCATCTGCAATAGCAATACCGGCTTTGCCCTGATACCCAGTCACTTCATCTTTCCCTACCCCAACTGGTGGTTGCTCAACCTTTTCTTCTTTTTCCCCTTCAACTTCCTTCCCATCAATGGATGCTGTTGAATCTCCCAGAGCCAGAGCATCGCCAGGTACGTTAGCTTCTTGTTGAACTTTGGCTTCTTCGGAAGGAGCTGGTGTTTTTTCCACATCTTGGTTTTCCTTCACATCAACCTTTTCCATCTCAGTATCTGCATCTTTCTCAGCTTTTTCAGCATCTTGCACATCACTACTTTTCGTTTCCTTGGCTCCTTCAGGAGCAGCTTCCTTTTCTTTGTCCTCCTTCTTCGCTGAAGTTGATTTTCTGCTTCGCTTTTTTGGGGGCTCACCTTCTGGTGGCGGAGTTGCTTTTGCCTTCTCACTAATCCTTGCTGACCGCCTTGGTGTCTCACCAGTGCCCCAATCAAATTCTGATACTGCAGGACCACCAGGGTGTGCTTTCAGGTACTGTTCCAACTGTCTTTTGCTGGTGATCTCCTCTCCTGTCGGAGCTGTAAATACGATCTCATTTTTCTTAGGAGTTCCACTTTGCTTGGGCAGAAACTGCGTGTTAAACAAACCAACCTCAGCGTGTTAAGTTGACTCAATAAACCGGAAAAAAAAAATACATAACAAGATAATATGCATTGTAGGAAAAACATTTGAAAAAGGTGCTGTGCGAGGACTTGCACGAAAATGGAATAAGACAAACTATTGCACCGTGGTAGGCAGATATTGAAAGTGCACTTAAGAGATAAAGGACAGTGGTCATGCACCTTAAGAAATCAACCAGCACAGAGACCTAATAGTTCATTGGAGTAGTGCACTAAGGTTTTTGAGTAAAACAACTCAGGAAAGTTAATACGAGGGCTAATAATGGAATCCGCTGGAACTCTAACTCAACAAATATATCTTAAACAAAAAAATCAGCAATAAACTCAATAACAGAGTATCCCCAAATACAACCACAGAGATTGTAATTGCCTCCACTTTTTCTCCAAGTGTCTATATTCCAAACTACATTCTCTATAAAAATATGCAAATCCTCGTACAATTGCGAATGCAGAGTTGCAAGAAACATGTACAAAAATCCCGAAAATTTGCCGAAACCGAACCCTACCAGACCATTTAACCTAACAAACCATAAGCAAAAGCCCCAGAATTTAAGCTCAATTGCTGAAAAACCAACACAAACCCTAAAACAGAACCATGACCAAATCCTCAAATTCTACCACAAAAACCCACCAATTCACAAAACCCCAAAATACCCAGTTGAAATTTCCCCAATTAAACATGAATTAAACTAATTTAGCTACCCAAAAATTCAAAATTCCGTAGCTCAGAAAATTATGCGGGCAAAAAAATACAGAGCAAATAAAACAGAGAGAAAGCAACTAAACCTTCTTAACCCAACCAGAAGGAGCTGGAAGTTCCAAGGACACAACCTCCTCCTTCTCCACTGAGCTCGCCATTTCACTTCACACCTGCAAAAAATTCAAACAGTTACTTTCCAAAAAAAAAAAAAAAAAAAAAAAAATCCTGTATTTTAATAACCAAATTACACATTAATTAATCTGTAAAAAAAAATTAAATTAAATTAACTTAATTGCGAGAAGCAGAAAGCAAAGAGGGAAAGCTCCTTACTTTCTCTGTAAAATTCGATTGAAAGGGAGGAAGGAAAAAAGAGGGCTAATTAAATATAACAGACACGTCGTTAGCATTTGTGCCGCTGCTCTTTCGAGGGCTCGTCTGTAATTTTTGTGCTGGGTATTTTGGAACCTGACGGCGCGATGTGGTGATGGCACGTGGAGCGGATGGGGATTATGGACGGTTGGGATTGCGGGTGATTAAGTAGGTTGGTTTTAACTTCGGAGAGCTGTGAGTCACCGCTCGGGGGGTTGTGTCGGTTGGGTTGTATGTGATTGCTTTGGATTCACAACCATACAATCACTACGGTGGACAAGATACGCAGGATAGGAGCTCGTGTTTTGAATTTCAAATTTATTTATTTTTTGTCTTGGCATCTAATTAAAGCAACAAAAAGAATATCCACTTATCCATAATTTTGGAAGTCAAGTAAAATATAAATCAAAGACAAAAAAATGTGCTCCAAAATAAGTTTTTATTGATTTGATGTAAAACTCGTTTCGATGTGCTATTAAAATGACTAAAAGCATTTTTAGTGAAAATATTTTAAAAACCAATATTAAGTAAAAATGCAAGTAAATATTAGAAAAGCACTTAAAGTGCTTCCTGAAAAAACTGGTACTTCTTGCAGAAAGCACTTCAAATGTTTTTGGAATCCAAAAATATTTTTTCTAAAAGTACTTTCAATAATTTTAAAAGCACATCCAAACGAGTCTATATTGTCATCTCGCCATATCTAATCCAAGTATTGACTCTTATTAAGATGTTTACAAATTTGCTAAATGTTATAGTTATTACATATTTATATCATTTCTCTAATAAAAATAAGGTATGTCAACGCATGCATGTCTCATCTCTATTAAAAAGATGATACAAATATATGATAAAAGTAGTATTTTTGTATACATCAAAAGGCTACAAATGCTCGTACATGGAGACTTAAAACCTTGTAGATCTAAGCTAAGATGAAGACCCATATTTGCGAAACCATTATCCTTCATGTATACATGTTTTAGGACACATTTTTAATTACGGTTTATTATAAGAAAAACAAAGTGTTATTTATACTACCAAATGTATACATGTTTTATGTTATACTTTAGATAAATGGAGCATTGAATATTCATTAAAAATTCAACAGTGTAAAATTTAAGAACTAAAGATGTAGGAGTATACTCTACGCCGGTACATACTAAAAAAACTTGCATTTCAATTTCAGAATCATAGTCAAGGTAAAAATGAAATTACCACTTGTTTGCGGGATTGACGTTAATTTTGAGACGAGCAAAGAACACATGCGGCCGGTTTCACTTTAAAAAGGTTCGACCCGTACGATTGACTTGTAGTTCAGCCACTTGCCACTTGTCACTTGATAGATATAATATAAGCTAACTGCAATAAAACGACAGAAAATTTCAGGTTATCCAAAACTGCCTTATCCGGATGAAGCCGGTCCGACGACACACTTTTTTTACTTTTTTTTTTCTTTTTTTCTTTTTTTTTTCTTTTTCGGTCTTTAACCGTTTCAAAATCCTTTTTCTTTTCTTTTTAGACACTAGACAGCGACAGACAGGATTATTTAAAAAAATTATTTCTAAAAAAAAAATAAAAAAGTAAAACCTAAATACAATAGAAAACTTTGAGGATCTAGGGAGGTTTTGTTTCTTGGTTTTTTATTTGCTTGTTGACACAAAAACCTTCAAATATATCTGGACAAATCTCATTAATCTGATTCTGGGCCTTCCACTGGACTGTGTGGGTTGAGAAATGGAGACGCGACGAGACCAAAGCTTGTAGCTGAATCCTGCAGACCTTGAGGCCCAATACCATGGGCTGTATTGTACAATGTGGAGAGTCCAAGGAGGCCGCAAGAGGCCGAAGCCCAGATTCTACTTACCCATAGGCTATTGCATACAACATAAAAATCGCAAGGCTAACTAGTACGTACATGAAAACTTACCAATTTTCAGTGTTTCAATCATCATTTTGTTTTTAAGTCGTTTGATCGTAATTTGAACGAAACCTATCCCAACGTTCTCTTCGTGCGCACGCGATGTGACCTTCAAGCATGCATGCAAGAGAATGTATATGTGTGTGTGTGTGATAGTTGTGTAAATATATGGTTGCCCCGAATGAAATGGAAACCACGTCCTTTCATTTCAAAGATCAAATATGTCCATTTTGTGTAGGACATGTACCATAATAATATACTGGTCGAACAGTAGTTAGTACAGGCAAATGGAGCAATCGTCCTTGTACATAAGGAAAAGGATCCTCCCCAGATTCTCTTCCTGGGAATTTTAGGGATTTCGTAATCGTGATTGTTTATCGTACATCGTGTAGTCAGAAATTATTTCAAAATTTTAAATTTTAAATTTTAAATTAAATATAAATAGTACCTAACGAAAACTGACCGCACGATATACAATAAACGGTCACGATCACGAAATTCCTAGAATCTCTTAAAAAAGGATTCGGCGAGAATCCTTTTCCTTTAGATAAAACCAAATATGTGCAATCTAGCTATTTATCATTATTAATTAATTAGGGAACACGATCCACATGTGGCGCATGGCTACATTTTCAAGGCTTGTATCAATATTGACCCTCTACGCTATGTTGCATGTTGTATACGATGCACCAAATTTGGAGCTTCAGGTTTTGTCTATTTATGTTGGGGATCCTACTACCCTAAAATGCATGGATGATCCATATATATATATATATATATATGTGTGTGTGTGTGTGTTAACTATAACTTTTATTCGAAATTATGTGATGATCTCGCATGCATGCGGTTGCTTAAATTGTTAGAATTTGTAACATTCAACTCAAAATTAATCAACAATAATTGAAAAGATTTATGCCAAACTTTCATTTCAAACATAATATGCTCTCAAGTCTCAACAAATCATATGCATGCATGATGCATCTAGTTTCCCGGACTCGGAGCTGCGTCTGTACCATAACTGGTCAAGGGGCCTATGATGTGCCCATATTTTAACATAGGAAAAATTAAGTTCTCAACTTTATTTTTCTTACTCATTGATCAAAATTTTATTCTTTTTCAAATTTTGATCAATATCCTTAGATTTTAATAAATGTCTTTAATTATTTAAAAAATAAAATATTTTTTTATTTCTAGATATATTCATTTAGTGTTAGAAACGTTATATGTCACATCTCGGCCTGGGCCCCACCACATTTCGGCTCAACTCCGCCGTAGCACGATATTGTCCGTTTTGAGCCCCTACCACACCCTGACAGTTTTGTTACTGGGAATTCACACAAGAACTTCCCAGTGGGTCACCCATCATGGATTGCTCTCGCGCGAACTCGCTTAACTTCGGAGTTCCAATGGAACCCGAAGCTAATGATCTCCCAAAAGGCCTCGTGCTAGATAGAGATGAGAATATACATATAAGGCTTACAGGATCCACTCCCCTGGGCAAGGTGCGATGTAACAATCCACCCCCCTTTGGGGCCCGACTTCCTCGTCGACACACTTCCGGCCAAGGATTGGCTCTGATACTAAATTGTCATATCCCGACCCGGACCCCACCATATCCCGGACTCGACTCCGTTGTAGCACGATATTGTTCGCTTTCGGCCCCTATCACACCTTCACGGTTTTGTTTCTGGGAATTTACACGATAACTTCCCAATGAGTCACCCATCATGGGATTGCTCTCTTGCGAACTCGCTTAACTTCGGAGTTCCAATGGAACCTGAAGCTAATGATCTCCCAAAAGGCCTCGTGCTAGGTATAGATGAGAATATACATATAAGGCTTACAGGATCCACTCCCTTGGGCAAGGTGCGATGTAACAATCCACCCCCCTTAAAGACCTGACGTTCTCGTTGACACACTTCCGCCCAAGGATTGGCTCTGATACCAAATTGTCACATCCCGGCTCAGGCTCCACCACATCCTGGACTCGACTCCGCTGTAGCACCATATTGTCCGCTTTGGGCCCCTATCACACCCTCACGGTTTTGTTTCTGGGAACTCATACAAGAACTTCCCAATGGGTCACCCATCTTGGGATTGCTCTCGTGCGAACTCACTTAACTTTGGAGTTCCAATGGAACCCAACGCTAGTGAGCTCCCAAAAGGTCTCGTGCTAGGTAGAGATGAGAATATACATATAAGGCTTGTAGGATCTACTCCCCTGGGCGATGTGGGATGTAACATTACATTTGTTATATTTATATTCATGGCTAAATTTTTTATCATATATTTCTATTTTTAGTTTGTACCCATTTTTAATTTGCAACTTTTTTGTTTTAATTTGTACCAATTTTCTTTTCAGTTTTAATTTGTACCCATATTTTTTAAACTCCTATTTGTATTTGTACTCATATTTTTAATTATTTGTACCCAATTTTTATTTTGCTAAATGTACCCACGCTAATTATATGTATTTATTTTATGTTTTAAAATATATCAACAGTTATTTTTTAAAATATGTTAATAATTAGGTGGGTACATTATTTTTTTGCTATAATTTTTGTGAAAAACACTATTACTAGGGGTGGGCACGGGCCGGGTTAGGCCCAAATTTACAGAAACTGGACCGTACCCGTTGTAAATAGTAACGGAGTGGGTCAAGCCGGGTAATGGAATTTCTGAGTTAGGAACCGGACTGTACCCAACTCATTTGAAACAGTTGTTATGGGTCGAGTCCACAGATCCCTATCTCTCTTGCTCATCTCTCCCAATCCCAAATCAAGGTCTCTGTCTCTCGACTCCGATCGATGATGGCACGAGATTTTCAAACACCACCAGATGCTCTAAAGTCTAAACTCCACAACAACAACAACAACAACAACAACAACAAAAAAAAAAAAAAAAAAAAAAAAAAAAAAAATACCCATCTCAGATTTCCCACCATACCTGCAAATTAATGAAAACCCATATGGACTAGATACCAAATCTTGCAAAAAATTAAGATCTAAGAGGAGACACTTGAAGACTAAGAACAGAAGGCATGGTGGGCGATTTCGATTCGCATGGCGCTAACGATACAGTTGAATCTAAAGATTCAAAACTAATGGGTTATCAGCACAAATTTCTTAAAAATCAGAAACTGAACATTTAC